CATATGAGTGAAGTAACAGATGAACACCTAGTCTCTTTGGATGCAAAAGATTAAGCTAAAAAAACCACTAAAGGTCTATGTTAAAAATTTCCAATGAAGGAGCTCTAGTCAACACGAGCAAATACCAAGCTTGCACTACCCTGCGAAGGATTTAGGGCTGGCAGTAGAAAAGCACCAGTTCTTGTTCCTCTAATACTTAAAATAGGTGCACTTAAACACAGGATACAAAGACCAAATAAAACCAAATTGTGGTAGAGACTTCTATGAACCTGTCTTCCTCAGGCTCATATAGACTATTCTAATTACTGGCAAAGGTGCACCATAATCAGATTAGGATGAACAATAAGGATGGAGAAGGTAGCATATCTTACCTCTGTAGCTCCATAAAGAAATATCCCCTGCTGCCTATTCTCCTTAATCTGTATGTTGTCATTGACTAATTCAAACAGGTCCCTAAAAGAAGGGAGAATGCTTATTATTAAGAACATTATTATCTCTAGTGTACAGGTTAGGTACTGCAAACTGGAAGTCCAAGAAGTATGTCCCATTGAGAACGGACCTTACTTTCTCCATGTAAATCTCAACCTGTAAGCATCAAATCAACAGGTAAGTCATATAGCATGAATAAAATAAAAAATGAAATTGCAAATCTCAAGTACGCAATTAATTAAACTTTCTACACACCATGGATAACTTGATCATGGAGCTGGCCGTCTCATCTGAAAGTGCGATAGCCTCAAAAAGGCCATTCACCACTTTTGGCAACAGTCCTTTGTTCTTCTCATCTCCATCCATGATGCTAGGCCCCTAAAGTTGAGAGAATTCAATGAAACTCCTAGTTTAACATGCGTCTATCTACTGCAGCTTCACTAGACTGTGTAGCATCGTCCTCTTACCTCCATGGTATATGTCTTCCCTGCTCCAGTCTGTTGCCAATAATATACAACAGCTTCATTAAATTCAAATGGTTTTCAAGTAACCCGAGAAATCTATTAATAAGTCTCTGAAGGAAACTTCATGATGCAAAAAATGCAAGTTTCAATCCTGATCTCTAAAGTTGATGATGTTAATGGAAGCATGCCATATAATTTGGCTTTAACTCGCAAATGTCTCCAGCAAACTGTATAGTGGTCAAACTCTCGCCCTGATCTGATATTTTTACTCGAATTGAATTTCATGCTACATCAACAGTTCCTCATTATCTAGCCAAATCATTGTCTACAAAAAATGAGTAAATTAGCTACGTGATGAATAGAACAAATCAATGTTCTTCTTGGACCTTAATTGGAGCTTGATATAATTTGAAAAACAAGAAGATGTCCTACAATATTAATTAGAAATAATTAGACACATCAACAAAAATTTTCATTCAAACTCAAAGTAGGGTCTGCTAGCCATTTCCCTCCCCCCAACCCCAACATACACCAACCAATTGAAAAAAAAAAGAAGAAAGAAAATATTATTTGGCACATGTACAACTTATTCTTCTGTAGTAAAATGACCATATACACTTCATAACTCTAGAACATGTGAACAAAGGACTTTTTGATACTTAAATCACCAGCATGACTCTTGAAGTCAAATTTCTAGCATATACATTCCACAACTTTAACTATGATGAAAGTTAAGATGGGGAAGAAATTATCTACATTTGGAAAAGAAATTAGTTGGTTTCATGAGAATATGGTGAGACAAAAGCTTCTTTTTGCTGATCAGAAACTCAAATAAATGTATTGTCAGATCACTACTTTTGACTTCAGCAGTTAAGCTTCTGCAGGATTTTGAGAACTACCATAATGCAGCATATGTAGAATTTCGTTAGCTGAACTCTTGATAGAAATTGAGGAATAATGTCACGTATTCACCAATATCAGAACGCTCAATAACTAAATAGAGTTTTCATCATGAAAAACACGATACCAGCAAATCAAGAAAATAAATATTGATCAACATTATCTGCCGTGGCAGCTGCATACTATTATCTCTGGCATTTGGGAACGTAACCTCACTTATTTTAATCAAGTGCCTCATTCTATGTAAAATTTAAGAACAAAACAAGACACAAGCAGCTACAATCTCAAACATCTGGAACTTTATGCCTTCTTTCATACAATTCTTGATTTATCTTAATTTTTCCTCATGATCATAAGTATGCTGTAGTTATGATGGTTAAAGCAACAATTAAGAAAAGCTACAAAGTGGACATCTCATGTTTATTAATTCTGCAATTATTTATTCTGAAATGCAGGTTCTGCAATCAAGAAGTTTGTTAAATCTGCTTGTAGAATACTCAATATATTACTACGAAGGCACTGCAGACGTGAAAAGACAACAATGGGAAATGTTGAATCATGACTACCTGTCCATAGGTGATAATTGCCCCATTAATTCCATCAACAGCAGCTGTTGAAACAAAAAATAAAAAATAAAAAGATGTGAATAAGAATTACAGGTTAAACTTCTTGTTAAAAGACAATTGTAGGAAGTGAAAGCAAATCCAATTGTTCCACTAATACTGCCTGTTTCATAAAAAAAAAAAAAAAAAAAGGATCAGCTTAAGCTTAAGGTTTACTGACCATAGACAACAAGAGATGAATTCGTTCCTGGTTTACAAACACAAAACGAGATTTTGAATCTACTAGCATCAACCGCTAACGTCTTCAATCTTTGGATGTAACCAAGATATAGAGTTTTTGAGTCGTAATCTTACCAATCTTCCAGTATAAAGGACCAGATCAACTTTGATATTTCCATTCTTTTTTTTTTTTCACTTCTAATCAACTTAGCAATTCTAATCTACAGTTTGTCTCATCTTTTGTTTAAAGCAAACATTTCTCACAACATCTACCAAACATTAAAAAATATACAAGCGCTAACAACATTCAATAATCTCATTGTAGAAAGCTGAAACCAGAGAATCAATAGAAATTTGATACCTTGCACAAGAGGCAGAGCAATAAAATCATACACTTCAGATTGCGGAGATCCTGGATAGAAAACTCTATCGAAGCTAAAATTGAAGTCCTCCTTCTCATCCTACCATACACCGACAAAATTCACAAAATTTTCTTATTTCACAAATTTATCACTTGAAATTATGCTTCAACAACTCAACAGGATACAATTTTAGTAGAAAAGCATATAACTTACGAACATATACTAACATTATTGTCGAAATTGAAAATTAGAACCTTGAATATGAAGGATTCAGAGTCTACGCGGTGTATGCAGATGGAATCGCCGTGATCGGCTCTTTCTTTCTGATTAAGAGGTCTGAATAGCGCGCAAACTTTGATTTTTGACATTTTCTGTGTTTGAATTGATGAGAACCTGAAAATCGACCACAAAATTCAACTAAAAATATACAATTGATTATTGATCAAAGTTCGGTTTTGAACTACACATTCACAGTTCACAGACCAAAAATGCATAAGCACAGGGAACTATACCTGATTGGAGAAGAAGACTGAATGAGAATTCGAGGATTTTTTTGAAGATTTTCCCGCCAAAATCTGGAGAGAGAAAACTTTGGAGTCGAAAATGATGATCAGCGACGTCTTAACGGAAAAACAAGTATTCGGACCTATTTATAGGGCTAATTTCTTAAAATATACCTGAAAAAAAAATTCCGTTAAATGTACCTCACCTTTGGTACCAAACTATAGCTGACATACCAAATCAGCACGGCAGAAATTTTTTTTTTTTAAGTTGTAGGCTACCGTGCTGACTGTGCACGGTAGCCTGCAGTCGAATTTTTTTCTTTTAAAAGGCAGCCTGCTACCATGCACTCTTTTTTCAAGGCAGCCTTCTACGCCAGTCTTTTTCACCAAGAGCTTGTTTTGAAATGGGGCGCATGGGGGGAAGTACTTTGGAATGATTTGATTGGGACGCTAGTGAGTTAATGAGCACCATTTACATGGTTCTATCAACCCTTTTCTTGCGTGTTCTGAATCGACTTCCTTATTTATAAAGAAGAGATGCCCCGTAGAAGACTTCAGGCCACCGAAGCTAACAAAAGGCTAAGGAGACCCATTTAGTATGGTATTTTTATGCCGACTAAAGTAACTTCAGGGGTTAGCTTTTCAAATGTTAAAAGAATAAGGGCAGCTAATTCATCCGCATCTGTTGGAGGAAGGATATCCTTTCGCCCAAAATTTACTTTTCAAAAGGGCACCTGCTACGGTGCTGATTGTGCACAGTAGCAAGCTGTCCGTGCACAGTTAGCACGATAGCCCGCAACTTTTAAAAAAAAAAAAATTTGCTGCTGTGCTGACTAGGCACGATAGGTATAGTTTTGTACTACGGGTCTATCAGAGAGGTACATTTGGCGGACATTTTTTTTTCAGATATATTCTAAGAAATTAGCCTATTTATAGTTAGCATAGTGCACACTTGTGGGCAAAATATGCTATTGCCGAGTTGAAGAGAATTACGTGAATTGCCCAACTAAAGCCTATATTTACCTTTTTGGACCCTAAAAGTTTTTCTTTTCTTTCTTTGTTTTGACAAATAAAGGATTAGTGGTTTCCTTTGCTTCAAATTGAACTGCCAGAAAGCGGAATATATGAATGAAGGGATCTCAACTCATTTGTTGGATGAAAGATCAATTTTTGCAGGCATGGTTTGGTTAAGTTTACCATAAAACTTATTAACGAAACTAGGTAGAATGATAGTTTTTCTTGTGACTTATTAAAGTAGTACAAAACGATTAACTATTAAACGTGACTTTGTTTATATATCTTTCTCTTCTACTTGCAGCGAATCCATCTATAAAGCTCAAGAAATCCACCTTCCTATCCTCATTAACATATATAGTAAATGTGTGAATGCCAATCCCTCCAATTGAACCCAATTGCTGACGTGGCACGCTGTGATTGGCCGATTGATGGTAGTCCTCCGTTGATTGAGCTGATGAATTGAATTGAGGACAAAATCGAGATTTCACCTCATCATTCAATAGATAGGGTTTCTGAAGCTGCTGCCGAGAGTCTCTTCTGCGCCTCCCTATCTAATCCTCCTCCTCGATTTCTTTCTTTTTTTCTTCTCTCTTATTTTCACTTCTTTTCTTTCCATGATTCGCTGTTGTCCAGATCTTCCTCTTCGTGGCTCTCCAGCTCCATTACTCTCCATTGATCAAGGTGATAACAATGAATGGGCCTCCCTATCTAATCCTTCTTCTTGGTTTCTTTCTCCTTTTCTTCTCTCATTTTTACTTCTTTTCATTCCTTGATTCGCTGTTGTTCAGATCTGCCTCTCCGTGGCTCTCCAGCTCCATTACTCTCCGTTGATCAAGGTGTAACAATGAATGGGAAGCAAACATTTATTTTACTTTAGGCTACTTAGTCATAATTTTTTCTTCATATTACTTAGCCATATTAAAAATCTTTTTTCCCCTTTTCGTTTTTTCCGCACATGATTCCTCGAACCCATCTGCTGTAATATTCGTCCCAAAGATATCTTCTTTACACCCCCAATGTTAATATGGATGGTCTGTATCAAAATTAGGGATGCCCAGATATTAGAAATTCGCTAGCTTTTGCTCCAGTCTTGGGGGATTCAAATCTTGCATTCTTTTTTTCACAACTTTCTACTGTTCGATGTTTCCTGTTTCGTTTCATGGAGTTATCTTTTTAATACAAGAGAGAAAAAATTATGATTACTTTAGGTTACTCAATCATTGTTTTTCTTTCTTTTTTTCCTTGGGCAGATTGGAAGGCAACAGTTGTTCGTCTCATATTTTATGAGAAAAAGGTAGAGGTGAGCTTTTTTTCCTACAGATTAATTCGTGATCATTTGTTTCTATCTTGGAGAGTCGGCTATTTTCTCCTTCCATCTTTAAATTCTAACAAATACATTTTTTATTATTGCTTTTTTTCCTATACACTATTATCTTTATTGTTGTGTGATTATTCTCTTCTTGTGCGAACATCTATATGGTTATTCTACTAGCTGTTTTTTTCTCACTTGTTATTGATATGTGCCTTTTTCTTTTTAGAAAATTTTTAGTGCTTCTTCTCTCCCGCATTCTCGTTCCTCATGGTGAGTTTTCTAATTTTTGCATCCGTGCTTACTTTTATTTTTTTTTCCTGAGCTCTATTTTAAGTTTTTTATTATTGTTATAAGTGTTGTTGCTGTTTATATTTGGAGGATTTGTTTTGTCCACTTTTTTAATTTGCAATTATGGTTTCTAATTTTTTTTCTCTATATATAAGTAGCAAAAAGTAGTTCCTACCTTTATATTTGATTTCAGGTTTTCATCTTCAAGGTCAAAGAACTCAGTAAACGTGGCAAAAAAGGTTATTACCTTTTTGTTTGATTTCATGTTTTTATCTTCAAGGTTAAAAGAACTCATGCAAATATAATGGATTTTAATGTCTTAATATCTGTTTTCCTTGCTGAAAAGTTTTTTATGATTTTTTCAAAATTTCCCCTCGACTTATTTCCTAATCATTCACTTCAAGTAGCACAGCATACTAGATCTTATATTTGCAAAATACCAAAACAAACAGGTAGCGTTTGTATAAATCTCCATTTTTGAATTTGTGAAATAGAAGAAAAGAAAACGTGGTCTTCTTATTTCTTGTACTTGCTGTGTGTTTTGAAGTTCAATTGAAACTCATGTGCTTGGAAAACTTTAGAAATTAACATTTTCATTTTATTTTAAATATTGTTGGGGTTGTCAAATTGAATTAATTGAAGAATCTTTAAATATGACACATATGCTCTTATTTTCCAAATGCTTAAAAATTGCACTTTTTGATTGAGTTTTTACTAAACAGGGACAAAAGTAGGATTTCGCCTTGAAAAAATGCATATGCAATTAGAATGTATGAACAAAATTAGTTTAGTGGTTCATATATGCCTCAGCAAAAGTGTACTGAAAAAAGAGTTTGATCTCAAATGAAGGTCCGGACTTTCTCACCCACTGGTAATTAGTTAAGCAATGGAGGTATGCAAGTGACCAGCAAATTGAGTACTCAATGAATCGGTTATTACTTTATTTTTGGAGTTAAGATTTTTGTTACAATCTATTTCCATCCAAGAGGTTTGCTAATGTGTTGCTTGCTTAACTAGACTTCATCCTCTATATAACATTTTCTTGCCTTGAATCATAAAAGAAATGATGGCCGTATTTTGTTTGGAAAGTGCTCTGCTTTCAATGCTCTATGCTTTTAATTCATGACCCTAAGTTGCCTCTTACCACTTCTAAAAATTTTAACATGGAAATAATTACTAGGTAATTCAGTTTTGGGTGTTTTAAATCTGTATTTGCTAAACATGATGTTCCCTGTTACATTTTAGTATGATTAAGTTTGGAAAGTCTGATTTTTATAGCCAGTTTGTTGTACTTTGTGAAATTGGATCCAACTGAGAAAGAACCCTAAACAGGTTAACGGACAACAATTAAAGTTCGAATTGCCAATTGAAAGATTCAATGAGTGAATGTTAAACAGATTTTCAATCTACCTTTAAGTTTTTCTACGAGAAAGAACTTAATGGAAGGAAATGTTACTTTTGAAGTAGATTTGCTAAACTCTCTTGTAAATTACAATAGGATGCATAATCCATGCCAAATATGGCATCTAGATGTTCCAGTAGAAGAAGACCCCTCTACTTTGAGAGAAATTGGTATAGACTTCTTTGCAGAATCTTAGAATACAATTATTATTTCTTCCACTTTTGTTTTTAGGCTGAGGCATATATGCCATATTTGCCGCATCTTCTATCAGTTTTGTAGCTACTGCATTTCAATTGTGTTGTTGCAGTTTGCAAGAATTATTATGGTGCTCTTGATTCTCATTGGGCAAGATCCAAGTAATGAACTTTGCCACGAATCCTTGGAAATTACTTCTTATGTATGATTTGTTTATAGCCTTTCCAATTACCAATAACTTCAATTCTTCGGCACTGCTTGGATTAATAACAAAAATAGGTTAGCTTGAGATATGAAACATTTCAGATTTCGTCATTGTTAGATAAATTTTATAGCCAAACATGATTGGTCTTTTAATTTTTTTTTTGTGGTATTTATGAGCAATAATTTGATTTGGACAGCAAATCAGAAAGTGTAAGCGCCCATATTTGAAACTATTCATTTTTGTTTCGTGTTAGGTAATGGATGATATTTTTGCACTATATTTAACCCACAAATGCAGTCTAATATAGGTTGTCCTGCTAGGTTCAGCTCTTGATTCACACATCCAATACGATTTTATCAATATGGACTGTGCTTATTTATTTATTTTTTCCTTCTTCCTTTTGGGTTTTGGTTGCCATAATTATCGACACTATGTATCTTTGTTGTTTTTGTTGGAATCCTCTATTCGTAGGCTAGAAACATGCACAAAACTAAACTTCTTCGAAATGCTATAGCCTTAAGAAATCCAGGATTGGCAGGAGCAAAAGAACTCAGTAGAGACTCCTCTGGTTGTTGGATGGAAGGCTATAGTAGAAACAGTGCAAACTTGGGAATTGCTATCAATATTTTGGCTGAACTATGGGGTTTTAGAGACGGAATTATGCTTGCTTTGGAGTTAAATATTCAATTCCTAGATATTGAAGTTGACTGCCTTGACATCATATCTCTAATGAAATCAAATACTCTCAGTAATCATAATAATCATTGTTTGCAATATAATTGTTGATTACAGAGTCCTATTGCGGTTGCAATAAGAAGTGAATAGATGTGTAGATGGCTAGCTAGACTGGGAGGCAAGATGGAATGGCATTTTGTAATTTTGGATTCCTATCCTCATGAACTACCTTTTGCTTTAGATGAAGATTTGAGGGGAAATTTTTTTCCTCGTAATACTTGTTTGGCTTGTACTTGGTGTTTTATTTAATCTATTTGTACCCAAAAAACAGGAAAATGTTCCGGAGCATTTTTTTCCTTCTCCTATGTGACTTGACCAAAACTAACCGTTATAGGAGACATCCGGTCTTTAAAATTTCGATGGATGAGTATAGTCCAGAAAGTACTACCAAGTACCAACCAATCGAGACTACAAACTTTGTTCCCCCCACCGCCAAGTGCAGCTGCTACAGTACTTTATTTGGATTGATATAATATACTATTGCACAAGTTACTTCTCCATGAATGTTGAGTTGGACAAACATATATAAAGCCAATCTCGGCTATTTATACTTATTATGTGATTTTTTGGATTATTGTTTCTTTCATTGAATTGTAATACATAAGCGGATATAGTTGAACAAATTTGAAAATTTACTTGGCATAATTGAAAACTCTTGCATTCCCCAATTGAAAACTCTTGTATGCGAATTAATCTCTAACTATTTTACCCAATTTTTTTTGTCAATCTTTCTTGAAACAATCTATTAAACAAAAGGAACACCTTTACTAAGATTGTTAATAAACTTTGTAGGTGGAGTTGGCTTTATTTGTTTTGCTTGATATTAGATCTCATCATGATTGCGGTATGGCTTTTCCGGCTATTAGAGTAAGTATTTGGATTCTAAATTATTTCTTAACAAAAAGTTGAATCGGATTATAGTCAATGGATGCCAGTATTTTGCTTGCGATTCTAAAAAAATTGTATATATAATATATATATGTATATGAAGAGGACCCAGTTAATTTTTTCTTTCAATTTTGATTGATTAAGAGCCTAGATATTGGAGCCTTGAAAGCGTATGGAGTTCTTAGCTCGATATCTTTGTTTTTGTCTTCCTTTCTAATACTTTTAGTAAGTTGTTCATTATGCACCCTAACAATTAGTGGCTATAAAAATTCCATTTTCTCTTGGTTTTATGATGATTTCTTTTAATGTTTTAACACTTGTGCGTGATGATCTAGCTCAATCAAATTAAAGTTTATGAACAACATTATTAGCTTCTCCTTGATTACGTGTATCTATTTTTTTTAATTCTATTTTCATTCTATGCAGAAGCAAGGAGCATCTTAGTGATCTTAGTAGTCTAATCATGATATTGTCTTGCATTTTCTTAACAAATATTCATATTCACTACTAAATAAGACTACAAAAACAGAACGGCAAAGCTTTTGGTGCATATTTGTGTAACTTTTCATACTTAATATAAGAATTTGAATCACTGGGCATTTTTGGGCAACCGTGAAAATTACACCGCGCATCGTGCGGTGTTATCCTCCTAGTATGATACAAAGCAGCATTGCAGTTTCCCAAAAAAGTCATAAGAACATGGCAATGGTGGCTGCTCATTCCCATGAGCTACCGAAAGTCAATTCTTGGACCCAAGCTGCAGCATATGGTTTTCCTATAACAATGCACCCTTCTGCTTAGATATGTCAACGACCACAACTGAGAATCTAATCGATGGTAAAGCACCCTTTATGGTTTCACACTATGCCACCTGATTTTCCTTACATGTCAAAAATTTCTTCGTATCTCTTATAGTTTTTGGACAAAAAGTAGTGACTATACCGTCGTTAGTTGAAATGTTAGTATCGCCTTTTCTGAAATACTAGCAGAACAACAGCATAATGACTTCACATAAAGTTATAAAGAAATCATGTCAATATATGCAAAACCACAGGGAAGTTGGAATAGATTTATAGTGTTTTCTCACACACGTTTTCGGAGGCCAATTGAATGGAAGTACCTTACATGCACTTTAGACTTCATATCAAATCACAGGGAAGTTATGTGGATACCTTAAAAGGTTGTGATTACATGCAAAATCACAGTGGGTTACTAGTAATTTACCCAAATAATTACTAGATCACTATCTGCAACGTCGGATACAAAATTGATACACCAAGCTGGCACCAGAGAGGGTATCTCTGCATGGAGAACAGAAACTTGGCAGAAGTTAATTGTATGAAATGCTAAAAATCCGTATGGTGGATCGCTGATATGATTTTGCATAGGGAAGCAAATCAAATGGCTTCGAATTCTCAGTAATGTCGGCGACAGTAAGGTTTGCCTCCTTCGTTAGCTCAAGAAAGTAATTGAATGTCTCAATGTTACGAATCACAGAAGCAATATATGCTACAGGGCGTCTCTCCAACGCATCATCTTTGTCCTCAACACATGGAGCACTGCAACTCTCGGCTTTTCCTTTGCTGCTATCAAACTCGAAATCCGCATGTTGAACTTCACTTCTGATACATTTGGAATCTGGTTGACATCCCTCACTGCGAACACTTCCATGATTAGGGAATGATGTTCCACGTTTCAGAAGAACAGTCAGGACGCGAACAAGATGGGGAAGGTATAATGGGTCATAAATGACATCTGCACCCACACTGCAGAATAGTAGAGAAGGTTACAAGGCTTACTTTGAGCTATAGGAGAGGAAAAGCAGAAAAAACTAGGAAGTCTAATTTACATGAACTGGAAAAAGGATGTCATGTGTTAGATCTCAATGCTGTAGTTGTGAACTGCTTAAGGTGCAATTAGCACCAAGAAACCATGACAGATAGGTGCAATGCACAAAGGGAGGTGGCTTTTAAAAGAGAGGCATGGGTGGAAAGCACACGTGCATAAAGTATTACAAATACTGGCTTCTAAGGGTAACAACTCACAACAAGCAAATCAACATTTAGCAAGTGGTTGAGAATTGGCAGCAGGAAAGTACGGGATACCAGAACAGCTTTAAAGGAAGATGTGTGAGAGAGAGAGATGCCAGTATGGATACTTGGGTTGGGAGGGTAAAGCAGGGAGAGAATATGAACATGGAGCAATCAGTAACTTCCCCAGCCAAAATATGCCCGAAAAAAAAAAAATTCTCTCTCAGTTCCCTGGAAAGCATTCTAAAAGTTGGAACATTGATGATACATGGACAAACTAATCATCGCAAAACTAACAAGTTCCTTTCTACATCAGAAAAGAGAACCAAAGGCATGGAACAATGTTCACAGTCTCGTAGAAGCCAAATAGATTTCTACTGTATTTAAAAAAAAAAAACAACAACAACAACAACAACAAAAAGAAACAAAAAGCAAAAGAACTTACATTATGTCTGGCGCAAAGTTTTGCAGCTCAATTTCTGTTGCAGATTCCCATGGTAAATGAACGCACTGCACCTGCAACCAAAATTATGTCAAGTTGATTAGCTGCTTGTCCTTGTCCTAGTAAAGTAAATCCATGAACAGCAAGGCAAGCTTTATAACAATGAAAAGCTTCTAGCCCTTCGCAGAAATTACCTCCAAATTTTAGGAAGGACCAAACCTCATCAAAATGACAGCAGAAATAAGAAATGTCTTGAAAATGCAAGGTTTTCAGATACTTATATTCCTTTATAAAGGAAATCAGTTTCTTTAAAATTTAGCTCTGCTAGTTTTAGGAAACCAGAACACAATACTAAGAAAACCAACATATGTAGGAACCAAAGTCCTATACTTACTGTACTTGCATCTTTTTTGCATTCTGGTACGTCAATTCTTGTGCTGAGCAGATTTGACTCCAAATTAAGCCTCATATTGGATAAAGTGGACAGGTCGCCATCACTCAAAACCACCTGCATAAAGAAATCAATTTAAGATATGATGGTATCAGAAGTCTTTTATATGCTCTCAAGAATCTTTTCACTCTGATGAGAGGGAAATAAATGCATAAAAAATCATGCCATTTAACAAAACTTGAGAAGGATGTTCTTGAAAAGACAGTAAACATACTGTTTAACCAATGATAAAAGCAGTTTTATTGGACAATTTTATCTACTAGTAGCAACTGAGACAGAAATGGTTGAAAAGTTTAGATGTATTCCCATATATAGCTCTTGCTCGAAAAGACTCTCAAGAAGTTTACCCAACTAGAAGCAGTCCAAGCCTCAGCAGGAATCAAATTTTCTTTGGCAACATTGACCAAGATATCTACATTTCAAGATTATATTTTTAAAGGTGAAATTTGGACTCTGAAGCTTTCTCCTAGTTGCTAGAATCCATCTACTGAAGACCATAATAATTGTGGATATTTAGACGCCAGACATAGTATGATCAAATTAATCAACAAATTATATAAGTGCTCCAAACAGAGGAGTTAAAATGCCAATATTGGGAATTATTTGAGATCTCAAACAGTAAGACCCATAGAGATATTATTACCTAAGGAACATTGCGACACAGTAAGCGCATAAAAAATGTACTGGAATAATAAATTACCAATTCTATTCCTAAAGCTGCCAATCCAATTTTGTAAGCTGAATCTTTCCTGATAAATAGATCTAACATCAATCGTAATCTCAATAAATATGTCAAACCTACTGTGGAATCAACGTGAATGGAGGCACCAAAATGCAGGTATAGGTGTCAATGGTATAAATGGTAAAAAATTTGTTGATCAAACCAAGAATTCAACACTTTTCAGTGAATTGAATTAAGCATCTCAGAAGTATTCAAGCTTTGTTTGCAAAATCATAAGAATTATCAAAACTGTACTTATAAATCTTGAGCTCTCTTTATGGAGGTTTAGCTTTCCCAAAATAGTTATTGGAACAGTTCATTGCAACTTGCATTGATTTGCTACAACCAGGCCTCAACACAAGAAATAATACTTTCATCTCTAACCAAGCTGTCAACATTTCTCCAATTTAAAGAGTTAAGAGTATTCTGAACAAAGCCCATGAAAATTACCAAAATCAGATGATTGCTATTTGTATACAGGCCTTCATAAGAGGTGAAGTGCCTTGCATCAGGTAATTACATAATTGAACATCAATCTGAGAATTGAAATATATCCAGCTGACAGTAAATGCCAACCAGTGCCCTCAACGATAAAAATGAAACTTTTAGGCGCACAACTCAAATTCTATATGCGTCTTAATTGCACAGAAACGAGAAGGGTTCACTGTATGATCTTCAATATATTAAGAGTAAACACAAGTCTCTGGATAAAGATGGAAGAAGGCCTTACATAAAACCAATAAGAAAGATGGTCGAAAGCATATG